ATTACGGATACCGGGATACGTAGACTTGTGGAGCCCACAATCGGCAGATCGGCAACACCGGCATGACAGTGCTTTCGGCAGAGAAGCGGACGTGGTCGGTATCAGACAGACTCACCCCCGGACAATACGTTCGGAATGCCGATGATGTTTCATCATGTTTCTTCAGCGTCACAGCCTGGGAGCCTGGGAAGGCCCTAAGGCCGGCCCTCTTGTCGAAGTGTCGCGAGCAGCTAGCTGTTAGTGCACCAGCAGAAAGCAGAAGGGCCTTCGTAGTCCGCTTGTCTAGTTACTGGCCTCTATCGATTGGTCGGGGGGCTCGGTTGGGAACTGAAAACTTGACGGCACCTGCAGGTGGACAGGAAGAAGGAGAACATCCCCTGCTTGACCAGCTTGTTCTTCCTGTCGCAGGAGCTTTAGGTCGGGTCAGCACGCGCTCTTTGTGCACTTTGCAAGTCCGAGTGTCATCATCACATCGAAGGGCGGGAGCACTGGGTTGTTGGGATCTGCTGGCATGGCAATCTGCGGATAGGCGAGGCCAAGGATTCCATCGAAAGGGCTCTCCACCTGACAATGTGGCGACAGCTGAAAGGCTATGGACAGGCCATGGATTTCCAGTGCTGTCTGCGCACCCAGATCTGCCCCGGCTCCAGTACGATTGAACCCACGGTGGCATTGCTCAAATCCTGAGCTGCGACGGCGGAGTCAGGAAGTGCAGCCCGAAGCGAAGCTCGGACATTGCCAAGTGTCAATGCCGCCCACATTCACGTTGTCTGCGATCAAGGTCCCGGCGCACACCTACATGAAATCACATTCCACCACATTCATTCCGAAGGACGTGTTGCGGAAAGCAAATGAAGCTGTTCTTGCCCAGATGCTCCCGACCCATAAGGCAAGATCAACTTGCGCCCGTCCGGCTGGTACCTCAGCTGAAAGAAACCGTGTGACTGCAGCTGCCTTGCGTCGTACCACCTGCAGGAAAGCCACGTGCTGGACTTGCTAGCGTCATAGCGGTTGTGAGTGCTGCAGGATTTCTTGGCTTTCGGCAGGTTTGGCATGGTGCTCCTAGCCGCCCTTACAAGCACAACAGCACCCCGGGCCCCGCAAAGCTCAGGCCCAGCTTCTGAAATGCACTTCGCACTCGGCACCCATAGGTTTGAGGAGCCAGTGTCGTAAATCGCCTGAGCTGTGCGGCATGCAGCACTGCTACACACTGCCTGGTGACAAAATAACGTGGAAAAATACCCAATCTCAGAGAGCCGTAGTGGCATCGTATTTTCGGTGCTGAAGCGTCGCCCCGATGTAAGCCCAAGTCTTGAACCTTTTCCATCTTTTTCCCAGGGTCACAACAAGAAAGCCCTCCGTCAATACGGTGGCTGAAACGAGGGTAACGTAAAGCCACATCAGCTACCGTAGGCCCGCGGTGAGGTTTTGAGCTGTCTTGACCTTGGCCTCCTGTCGCATGCAGGGCACACGGTTTATTCCGAGAGGCCGTGAACTGCTGCCCGGGCGTTCCAATGGACACAGGTCCATAGTATTCCGAGTCCTGCGCGGGTAAATTGATCTCCACGCACGACTTTCTTCCGCCACTGAATTGAAATTTGAAATCGAAATGCAGACATGTCCAGCCTGGTAGTCCTTGATCTGGACGTATGGCAGCACATTCCCTGATCAAGGTCCAAGCGCAGAAAGCCAAGACATCGAAAACATCGGTGTTCACATGCTGGGCTGAGTGCACAGGAAGGAATGCATGCGACCTCCTCAACCCAGAACTCTATGTCACCTTATTGACTGGAGGAAGGCTTGGACTCCTGCTGCGTCTCCTGAAATTCGATAAACTAAGTACGGTATGTTGGATGCTTGTTTTGACATAGACGTCTCGTCTACGCTTTTCAACCATTCGACAGGTAACCCGAGCTCGGAACCGCTCCGGATGTCGCCATCTAAATTTATGTATTCTGGATTTTCGATTTTCACTTTCGCGCAGGTTTCTGTTCCTCAGCGGCTTTCCGAACTACTGATTATGACCCTTCCTGCTCGAATTTCATGACCAGAAAGGACAGATGAAGCATGGAACTCCAAAGACTGTACTGAACAGGCGACGAGGAGTTTGCAGATGTCCCATCCTTCCTAAACGGACGAAAAACACATGCGCACACACGCTGCTGCAAAACAAAGGTGCCAACAACAGCATGGACAACAACCACATCAAGAGAATGCACATCGAAAGATCTACGGTAGCATGACACCAGACAGCAACCTGTAATCCGGCGCTATTAAGCCACCATGCGACGATTCGCCTGCACTTGTGGAACCCTGCATCCTGAAGCCCTAAGACCACTCAAGACCCTCTTAGACACGCCTAAGTCCCAAAAAGACTTCACCCCCAAGACTCAAGAAAGAACCCACCCGGAACCACACATGCCTTCGCTCTCGGTTCGCAGTTGCTGCCAGTGCTGACGAAGGCTTCGAATCCCCGCAGCCGTCCTGTCATTCGCGGGTGCGGACTTTTCGGGTCAAGGCTGGAAACAGTCGGTCCGTGAGTTATAAGCTACTGCATTCAGATAGATCATCTTTGGGCGGCCGAATGCGTAGCTTTCAAGTTGCCACAGCATGACACCAAGACATGCACAGATGAACAGAGCGACTGAAACAGGCACCCTGCTACATTGTTCTCACACGCGGAATCGACTCTGTGGTCAAGATGCCATGCTTGCTGCTACACTGCAACACTTAAACTACTGTATCTACAATCATCACAACTGCGGCGCCCGTGGTACATCGCTGTGCCGCAGTACGCCCTCTAGGTCAGTGAAACGGAGGCCTAGTCCAACAAACGTGATGGAAGTAATTCCTGTAGAATTTCTTCACTGCTCTTGTCAGAGAGTCTGCTCCAAGCGCCCGGGAATCATTCCAAGTTCAGCGTCTCATACGGCAACACCTCCCTGCCCGGCCCTTGGCAACACCACTGCCCTTTGGGACCGGAGTAGAAGTACCAAGGATGTCCTCCATCTTCATACTCTTCCCAATACTCTCCAGGTGGTGGCGGTGGTGGCTCTTTCTCTAACTCCGGCTCATCTCCATAGTCCGGCCCTGGCTCGGCCTTCACCGGTACCGGTGTAGGCTTCGGTGCCTCTGCCTTCCTCTCGGTCTCGGTCCTCTCTGGGAAGGATGGAGGCGAGGAAGGCGGAGGCAAAGGCGCCTTCTTTGGGATCGGGCGCACTGGATAAAAGGCTTCGGTGGAGCTGCTAGGAGCACTGCCACCGCTTGCACCGCGGCTTGCCGTCCCGTCATCAACTTCCGGCCCACGCCGAGCCCGACCCTGCCGGGCATCCGAGGACAAGTTTGGCCTTCTCGAGCCCTGATGAAACCGTTCCGATCTCCCTGCCCTGCCACGGTCAAAGTGCTGGCCCCTCTTCGGCATGACGCGGATGATGGTATCTTCGCGCTCCTGCTGGATCTGGAATCGCAGCTGCACTTGGTCTTCATGGAACATGTGGACCCTCACTGCATGTAGAATTTCTTGGCGTGAGACGCCTTCACGATGACCCCAAGTCTCCATCAAACCCATCAAAGAGAAAGAGCCTTGGTCGCAGACCCGGAGACCACGGGGCCGGTTGGTCGGATAGCGTCCGAAGGAAGCCAACATCTTCGAAATCCATCGTGTCCGACCGGACTCGCTGAGTGATTGAGGACTGCGGCTTCTGTCTCGTCGGCCGCGCATGGCAAGGCGGTATGAAACAGAAGTGCCAGGATCAAATACTCATTTGCCGAAGGTCTTGAAGGGGTAGTGGGGTTTAGGGCTTCAGAGGGCTACTAAGCTCTCAGAGTTTCTTCAATGTTGCCACGTAGCTATTCCACTCAAGCGAGAGGTTGGCTGAGTTTCCTGCGAAGCTCATGTTTCGATTTGCCGCTAACTGCCGGGATCTGGCCGAAAGTCAGGCGAACCCTGTGCGATTACTAGAAACTCCTTCGGCAACGCTTTACAGCTCCGTGCTTATGCTGCACTTCCGGTCTTGCAGAGCGGCGCATAAAGATGGCACCACTTGGCTTGAGGCAGAAATACGCCGTGCACAAGATCCTGCCGCTCATGTCATGCAGGACCGGACTCTCGCGGCTCCTATGTGCAGGCTATGCCTATGCCGTGCAACATCTTTGCGACCGTTCAGACAGGATCCGGCATGGAGAGCTCCAAATCGTATCCGAAGCGATCTCTAAGCTTTGGGCTGCAAGCCTGAGAGTAAGCTCCACGGCTATCTAGACAGAAGTTTTGTCTAGGCTTCCACGAATACCGGGATTTTTTGGCTGTGTATCAGAGGCAAGGCAAGGTGCTGCTTTCTTGGGGGCATGGGGATGTACTATGAGACACCATGTTGGTCTCCTGCAATAGGTTCTTGGAATTCATGAAATTGCAAAGCGAACTAAGCCAACTCCTTGAACTACTAGTCACCCATACGAACTGCACCGCCAGACTGCTGCAGTCCTGGGCTTGCGAACCAACGGCACGTGCACTTCGTCAGCCAGCCCACAAGCCTGTCACAAGTCTAGTATGCGTCGCCTGCTTCTAGGCCCGTGATAGATGCACACTTCGGCCGCTCTCATTCCAACGCAGTCTCATTCTGTAGTCTGTCCTTCCCCTGCTGTGGACTCCATAATATATAGATCCCAAACACAACACTCACGGCCCGCCAGCAGAGCCGCAGCAACCGCCCGGCGAAGCGTCATGGCTCTTCCGCACTTTCTGATGAGGGAGGCGGACGACGCAGTGGGCCAGCAACTGTGGACAATTCAACGCACGATCACAAGCCGCAAACACGCATGCTCATCTGTGACATCAACCGTCGGCCATGCTCCAGGATCCCTTGTCGGTATGGGTGTCGTTTGTTAATGGGCAACAGGCCCTGACGATCTGACTTGACAATTCTCAGACTCTCAGGTGCCTCATCATCCGGACGACTGCTGTGTTGGAGTGGCTGCCGAGGAATCTGGGCAATGCCACGAATTCATTCGAGAACCTTTTCATACCTTTGTGCTGCCATTTGCAAAGCCTTTGGATCAGCTTGGGTCAAAATTTCAGAACAGGCTCGGGTGGAGTGCAAGTGGAATGAGCCCATGCATCCACCCACTGAGTCCCAAGCAAGAAACCCTTGCGCATCAACTGTGGCCTTCAGAGTTGCGGCATCTCTCCGCAGCACAGATCTGCCACACAGGAGTCGGTCTCTCGCTGTTCTGGCCTCGTTGCCACTGACCTGAGCCAGGCCGCGACAACTCCAACAGCTTCCGATCTAGCAGAACCAGGCCCGGTGACAAAGGGTTCCTGCTGGTGCCCTTCCAACCCACGTGTCGAATGTCTGCGTCAATTGAACTCACGTCGAATATGACAGTCGGGCCAGTACCCCGAGAACCACATTTCCATTCCGTAAGTCTAAAGAACGATGCCCTTATGTTCATCCCAGGCGCGTGGAATCCGACGATGCTGCGGTTTTCCTTGAGCCCTTCGGCGAGGTGACGGCCTCGGGCTGCAACGTCCGCACGGCCACGCTCCTTCGACATGGAGCTCAGCTTAGCCGAGGCGCAGCAAGCCAGGGAGAGATCGCAGCGCGAGATGTCCAGGTGCCTGCAACGACAAAACTCGGAACGGTAAGGATGCTGTGGCTTCAGCTTCGTTGGGCTTGCCGGCTGAAGCGAAGCTTGCGTTTGCTAAGGATGAGACGCTATTTCGAACCCAAGAAATGTGGGTCGATAAAGTGCTCTCCGGAAGCACTAGCCCTATACAAGACGGCTGATGGACGCGGCTGGGCGAAGTCATCGTAGCTATGTGCACCTAGGAACCATGCCAAACCCCTCTGCTTGCGTTTGTGCGCTTAGGTGCCAAGCTGCGGGAACTCTTGAAAACTCTAAACCCTAAACCCTAGACCCTAAAACCCCACGGCAACTTCAAGGCCCTTGAACTCCACGTCCGCAAGACCCATCTGAGTACAGTGCAATCACTGTACAAGAAACGATTGGATAAGAAACGTAGGGGCCACGTCAGCCGGACAGCATCAAGAAACCGAAATCTTAAACTGCCTTCTAGCTAAGAGATGAAGGTACCCAACGTTTTGGGATCATTTCTTATTTCGGGGTTTTCCAGGTCCTAACCCTAGGGCATGTGGCAAGGGCCAGAAAAAGAAATGTAGGGGGCTACGTTTCTTATTTTGGTGGGTTTTCCAGGTCCTAACCCTAGGGCATGGGGCAGAGGCCAGAATAAAAAATGTAGGGGGCTACGTTTCTTATTTTGGGGGTTTCCAAGTTCTAAACCTAGGGCACGGGGCAGAGGCCAGAATAAGAAATGTAGGGGGGCTACGGGGTACCCTACGATTCGGGACCTGAGAAATGCGGAAATCTGAAAGTGAAAGGAAGTTAAGAAATGAAGGGTACCCAACGCTGGAAGCTGGCATTTCTTATCCAGCAGATGCACTGTAGCTACGGCAAAAGCAAGGAAGGCCAGTGGGTGACAAAGCAATTCTTGCAGCAGTCTGAACATTGGACCCCGCCCAATCCTAAGTTCGATTGCATGCAACATCGAGGGGATCATTACGGATAGCATCGTGGCGCTGCACCAACATAAGGAAGATGATCTCTGCAGCATGGCAGTGGGCAGCAGGGACCAAGAACTTGAGAAAGCGGAGAGGAAGTGTCAGTGGGGTCGGGATAGGTCGACATTGCGGCCGACCTGAGCACCGTAGTCTCCCGGAAGTATTTCACCAGCATCTGGCAGGTCTCCTACGCTTCAAGGGCTCTGGCTGTTTCCGTAGCAGCCTCGTCCGCTCATCGCCAGGAGCCTCTGCACCGGACTTGCCCAGCGGGTTCCAGGACAGATTCACGTAGCGCAGCCTCCTGCACTTCGCTTTTCCATCGTGTTGCTTTTGCTCACGCCTTGTGTCAGGGAGGCTAAGCATCCAGCCCACCACTCTTCTCATTGTCCATGAGGCCCTGAATGAGAGCCACAGCTCCCTCGCCTGAGCCGTTGCTGTGTCCATGGAGTCACGAAAACCATCGAAATCACTACAGTAGAGGCACCATCTCACGCGCCCCTTTGAGCATACCACCGGTGAAGTGATTCCAGTGGAGATCCAACTCCTCAAGATAGTTGAAGCCTGCACGCGAAACCATGAGGAGCCATGACGAGCCTCGACTTCGACCCTGAAGGCCGGGCTCCACGCGCTTCAGCAGAGGCTGAAATGCAGCGCCGACGCTGATCGCATTGCAGCTGATGTCGATCCTGGACACGGGACATCCCGGATTGTGCGATTGCGGTGTGCGGTGCCGGCTCGAGAGACATGTCCGAGCCTCGTGAGTGATCTGCAGCGGACCAGGTCGTTGAGGAGCTCCAGGCAGGTGTCTGGCACACGGAACACACGACAAAATATACCACAGGCATGCAAGCACATGCAAGCAGCATGTCGTGGGAAGGGGTAAGTTTGACATGATATGTCACGACGGATGCTTTGCAAGCAGCTCTTGGACGCCGCCAGAGCTACAATACTTCCTATTGCGAGCCGCTCCTGCTTTCTCATCAGATGTCCTGCTCGACGTCAGTGCTTGGTTTTTCGCTCATCGCTCTAGCAGGGATATGCCACAGTACACCCTGCTGAAGCCGGAAAAACAAGATTGCCAAGCGGCTGTCCGTGATCTGACAGTCAGACAGGGTCAGGCCTGCAATGCATGATGAGACAAGCTTGCCGCACAGCAGCAGTCTCATCCCTTCTCGCACCACGTGCAATGTCGTGGAACAACCGAGTAGGCTCGCACGGCTCGGGCACAGACTCCGCAGCTTGTTCAACCGTCGGAACGATCGGCACCAGCCTGACGTAACGTTCGGACAGCATCCGAATGATCTCTGAAAAGCCTTGGCCTGTGCCATGATCCAAATCGTTCTGCGAGAGGTCCACGCTCTCCAACTGGCACGGAACCGACGGAACTCATCAGTGGAAGTGCATAAGAAAGAATGGCCCGGAGCCAGCCGGGAGGGAACCCGGAGCCCGGCTACTCAGAGGCTGCAGCCGTGCCTCGGAGGGCAGGGCCTCCAAGAGCTGCCTCGGGCCGAGGACGCCCCCCAGAGATTTCAGGCTTCTCGAGACATTTGGGAGGGACAGCGAAAATCTCAGGAATATTGAATATTATTGAATATTATGGCATATTATGGAATATTGTTGAATATTATTGAATATTGGATGCTGAAAGAAAGTAGAAAGCTCCCGAACTGCTGCTCCCATCCCTTCACATCCCTACAGCATTCGCTTAAACCCACTGCAGCAGAGGCACCCAGCACCGAAGTCGCTGAGACCGTTGGCGCGGAAGCGTGCCTGTCATGGAACGACTAGGTGGACTGGAACAACCCTTGCGTGCAGAGTGCTCTGGCAAGGAGCCAGAGCGATCCTGCCAAGAAGCCTGAAAGCCCTTCAGCGCTGAGCGGTATATGGGATCCGAAACACATCAAATCTCTCGGCCTCACGCACGTCTGCCGATGATGCCTGCTCCAAGACTGTCGTCGAGTAAGCAGCTGCAGATCTGTCTCGTGTTTCATGCCACTTGTGACATGTCGGGCACCCCCCGCGAGTTCGATTCAAAGCTGGGACACTTCCTTTCGTCTGCAAGCCTTGAGGGTGTCATTCATGGCTTCGGCGCGCTCATCCGTCAGAAAGCCGTACCTGAGTCACTGACGCGCCCAGGCGACTTGCGGCCAATTCCGTGCACCCTCGTCAGGTTTGCCGGGAAAGCCTCACAAGTAGCAAGCCCCAGCTGATTGAAGCCTTTACACGAGGCCGGCGCTCTAGTTGCAGCTTCTCCTCGCCCTGCGCACGGACGATGCCGGTGGTGGCCGGATGCAGCCTCCGGCACTGGCATGAGCTGCACGCCGGAGCTGCAGGGACTGTTTGACCCGAAACTCGCTCGAGGACTGGAGCCGGCCTAACTCGGCGACACTGGTTCACCAAGTCCTGCATTGCTCTGTCGTGCCTTCGGCTCGAGCGGGAGCTGCTAACGAGAAACTGTTCCCGCCCCAGCCTGTCCAACTGCTTCAAGGGCGCCTGCACCTGCAGGAGCAGCACCCGCAGGAAATAGACAGGAAAGCTGCAGCTGCTGTGGCAAGCAGACACTTTCCGTGGCCGAGACCACTGCCTCCGTCAGGCCGTCCAAGAGCGTTATGGACTTCCCTATCCAATCCTGGCAGCCACACGCACAGGGCGCACCGAGGTGGCAGTGTCGATCATCAGACGTTGGATTTGCTCAGTTCTCCTGCGGATCGTTGTTCGTCGTTATCCTGACGAGGACTCTGAGCACTGGTTTGCACAGTCTCGCTCATGTTGGCGGGCGGAAACTGTGCTCCTGGTGGGCTGCACCGGCTCGGGAAGCCGCGGCGAGCCCGGCAGCCGGACCTACGACGGTCAGGGCAAAGACTAACCCTTCCTTGACCATATCTTGAGCAGAAATGTCTGGTATGTCTGAGCCATGCGAGCCCACCGACCCAGCCTCCTGAACCTTCGCGGCCACGGCAGCCAGCTTCGACTCCCGAGTGGTCACAGGTGATAAGGCTCGCACACGCCTCGGAGGCTGTCGGCGGAACTTCAACTTGCAAAGCGCGTGGTCCCTGCCTGGGGAACTCCACCGACCTGTCTGCCCTGAGGCAGCTGTCGAAGAAGCGCGCCTCACGTGGCATGGCAAACGATGAGCATCGCCTATCAACAGCTTTTCGATGCTTCTCGCTCGTGGAAGAGAGAGACTTCCTAGTCAGATTTTGCCGGTGAGGCAGTGAGGCATGGCAGGGAAGCCTTCCGCAAGCCGAGGCCCATATCAACAGAAGGCCTGGCAGGCAAAGGTCGAAACGCGCTACTGTAATTCGTGGGTGGTGAACGTCAAGAGCGCTGGTTCTGGAACGCTCTGGAGAGTGTGCATGATCAGTGCGTTTTTTGCCAGCGGCCAGAGGTTTTGGCTGTGGAGGGAACCTTCGCCTCCAGAATCAGAAATTGCGTGCGGGGGCGGCCGAAACAACGCCTCCGAGGCAAGGCCAGTGTCCGCACAGACCGCCCTTCAACACCATCATCAAGCTCTGTCAGGTCGGCGACGAGTGGATACGAGAAGCTGCCGGTCACACGGCGTCCACGTTGAATCGCCATCGAAAGAACATGGTTCCCCTCTGGAAAGGAGTTCTTGAACTGGGATGTTTCTTCGCAGGTCGAGATCCAGAGACGAGCCGGCCTGCTTCCAAGAGGCAGGGGAGTTTGTTATCGATCCCTTCCACCAGACGATCATCGAGCGAGTTGCTCAGGAACTGCACTCTGGATCACTGATTTCGCGAGAGCCGCGCTTGAGCGAGATGTAGAAGACCTGGCAGAATGCAACCAGACGCTCCGACAGAACCGAATCAACATCTTGCCACTGCCGGGGCACCTAGCACAAGCCTGGCACCCATCGCGACTGAACGTGCAAACTGCAGCATGCATCACTGAGAAGGCCAGCCAGTCCTGGATGCAGACAAGCTGCCCAGATCAGGCCAATGGAGGAAAGGAATGGCACTCGCCAAATAGCCGGCAATGCCTTCTGAGAACAGGAGGTCTTGGATCGAACTCGGAAGTTTGTAGGGGAATTTTGCCGAACGCTGGGAGGCAGAATGGGGACCTAACCGAAAACCATATCAGAACCATCAGACCGACCGGAGCTAAGTGCCGATCCGAAAACGTCAAGATGAGGACTCAGAGACGCAGTGCACACAACCGTTTGAGTTTGAACCTGGCAGCCGGACTGAAAACGAAACTCTGCTGGAAGAGTGGCTGGTGGAAACCGCCATTAACAAATAGAAAACAAAATGAGGGTTGGAATGAACATCCCCAAGAAAGCAACCTGAAAAATACAGCAAATCTGCACACTTCCGAAAAAGGACTGGCGTCACTCATGCCAACAGATGCCACGCCAGCCTGGAAAGGAGAACACTCATGCCAACCCTGAAGAAGGGGCTGCACACCTTTATGCCCCGGTGGTCCGGGATGTGCTCTCCGGTTCTATGATCGAGACTCATCCTATCCACTAACACCGGCTGCTTGGCGGCCAGGTCACTGTGAACATGACCTCGGTTTCACGTGGTCCCAAACTGCTTTGATCATCTTACAATCGTGGCTTGGAACTTGCAAAACCTTACTGACTGGCCATGTCCGGAAGCGAAAGACAAGTCACTACTTGATGTCATCTGAAAGGCAAACATGAGATGGAAGTGCTGGTCCAAGAAACCAGATTTGGATTCTGAACATGCGAAGGGGATCAAATTGAAATGCCGCCGCCACTTCACAGTGCTACCATGTCAAGCGGCAACATCGGAGGTGACGAGCAATGGCGCGGCTGCCCTGTACGGGGGTTCAAAGCCAGAGCGGGATCATCTTCATGACATGACAACACAGTCTGATTCCCGATGGACCGAGAGTCAGCCTCATGTCTATGGGTGCGTGCTCCGACCAGTATGCATAGGAAGCGGATGCCAAGGACCTGCAGCTGCCGTGCCTCGACAGACTGCACATAGAGCATGCGGCCCTTCTTTCGAAGACTGCACTACCATCCGTTCAGAGGCTAAACGTGCTCTCGATTTAAGCCATGGCAGCCTGTTGTATATTGCTTCTCGAAAGGTGTAGAAGCATGGCAAGTAAACCAGGGGCATGAAGATAAGTGCATCCTGGGACAGGTGGCTTCTGGGCTCAGAGCACAGGACGAGCTTATGCAAGCTTCGACTGCCATCGGAACATCATCCAGTAGCGATGAGAGCCCTGACCTACGCTGAAGATCTAACTCTGGAAACTCAAAGGCTCCACGCCGATCATGGCAGCCACCATTCTCCACCGCCCCTCCTCGGATGCCCCAAGGCCAAGGCAACCAGGCATTTTGGAGCCCTCCATCCGTTCGTTCATGGAGTTCTGTGATGTTCCTATGGTGGAATCCGGAAGCCATGCGCAGACCACTGGATCCCTCGGCGAGGTAGACAAGCCGCGACGAGCTTGCTCAAAACCCTGGTGGGAAACTCTGCCTCAAAGCACAATGGAGGAAGGAACTCGGCGGCACCGGAAGCTCATCCTACTCTGGGATGCAGGGGACAGTCAAGGCATCCAAGGCACGTAGAAAAGGTAGGCTGGAGCACCCATGACAGCTCCGAAAGAACCGAAAAGGCAGCTGCGTCTCCAGTCGTGCTCGCGCCTCTCCAAGAGCCGCTGCGTGAGCCCATCGCCCAGCACGTAGCGGCCGGCCAAGGAGCCTCAGAGTTTGCCAAACTTCCTCGAAAGCCGCCTTGCTCCGCTCCCTGAGCCGCTGGCCGCTGGCGTAGGCCAGGCCGCGCCAGGGAACGGCCATGACGAAAGCGGGATGGACGTGGCAGCGCAGCTGTGTGGTCGTGTGCGGAGGAAGACGTGCGGGGATGAGCTGTGCTGCTTGGGAGATGACATTTGCTGGTGCTGCGTTTCCGTGTGCCAAATTGCCTAAGGACCCGCTGTCTGTGGGCAAACCATGCAGCACAGGCCTGGTGGGCAGGACGGCACTGCGCAACAATGCCAGCAACAATGCCAGCAGCACGGCTCATCGTCGACTCGCTCCACCTGATAGGCAAGCAAGGCGCTGCACGGCGTGTCGCGGCTCAATAGCTGTCATGCAGTCGGCTCCGATCTGTAAGATGTTTCTGGAACAGATGCCCACAAGACCGACAAGACTTCAACAGGTGCCTCTGTCAGCAGCGTCTTCAGGGTCGGCGACAATGCTGCTCGAGGCCTTACCTGAGACGAGAACGTTGATTTGAATGAGACCGGATAAGCTGCCAGAACGAGACATGGCAGCAAGGGGCTGACCATGCCCATTCTGCAAATCATCAGTGTTCAGACTCTGCCACTTCCAACTGCCGCAGGTCGATATGCTGTGCTCAGCCGAGCCACGTCGGCGCCTCGTGCAGACATGCTAAGAGACACTCAAAGAAACATGCAGCAAGCAGCGCCATACACAGAGAGACACACTGCCGGCTCACGTGGCCTGCTGCCACTTGCTCGTACTTCTCGAACCTGCAGCGACGCAGAGCTGTTGGGCTTGCTTGTTTGCCTAGCTGAATCACAGATTTCTCGAGGTGAGCTGGACACAAGAGGAAAGGCCGAGGCCTCTTTTCACCTTCGTCGAAAAGATCTGGAGGCTTCAAGCCTCGGCAGCTCTAGGTCTCGTTTTGCAGGATGGCGACTTTGTGTCGCCCAAGTTGTGACCGGCTGCCGACAAACCTAGGCTCGGGACGATGGCGCCGCTGCAGAAAGCGGTTCCAGCCCTGTTCTCCTGCAAGTGGGGCTTGAATGGCTTGTGAGAAGCGCTGATGCAACTAGATTCCCCTTATGCCAAATTGAAAGCCGCCTGTACCTGTGTTGGAGCCGTCCCGGCCAGCCCTCTGCCTGCCAGAAAGGTCGGCTCTGTACAACATGGCAGCGGCACATCTTGGGAAGCAACGGGATTTTGAGATGAGAGATACACCGAGTGACACGATGAGGCAGTGCGCCGAATAGCGGTGACAAGCACGGTCTGACACTGGGAAGAGCGCGTGGCAAACGATTAAACGGAACCTTCTGCACCCGCGCAGGAATCCCATCTGAAACATCTGGAGCATCTGTGTCGACCATCGCCGACCACTTCGAAACTCCATAAGGACTCAGATGCTGCAAACTCACACAGGGCCTTTTCTGGACCCCCCCCGTGCTCACATGATGCCTGCCTATGACAAATCGAGACAAGTCGAGCAATCAAGAAAAACCGAGAAGAAGAGGCAGGGAGCGGTGAGAGATGGCCAAATGAACGGCCGGGAGACAGATGAGACGGCATTGCCTCTTTCATGTACCAATCACGACGATTAGTAACTGCTGCAGGGCTGTGCCAACAAGTCGAGCAGCCAGGCGAACTTAAGGACGCCTTCAACGAAGAAAAAATGCTATTCTTCAACCTGATTCCCGACGTGCCTCTGCCGAGGAGGGCTCGCCATCAGCCCTGGCAGCCAAATAACAGCCGTACCATTCCATCATGTTCTGTCCCTTCCAGCCCTAGGTGGGAACCTTTGTTCTGTCAAACGTGCGCACACGTGAAAAGTAGTCGCTTCAGTGTAGTGCTCACGCAGCTTTCGCCACTATGCATTTCGGCATGTCTAAACCTGGGCAAGGCCATCATGCCGGCCCGGACATGTTTCCTCCCTCTGCAGTGCGAGTAGCCATTGCGCACGCCGCATCGCGGTGGATGCTCTTGCACGCACGAGTTTCGTGAGGTTCTCGTGAACCCGGCGTTGGTTTTGCCTCTGATGGGTAGAGCTGACATCAACTTGGGACCGCCTGCTGAGTGCAGCCAAACCTCAAGAATTCAATGTCGATCGCTCGGCCAAAAAGTTACATGCGCCAGCGATTTAAGAACGCAGGTTGAGAACCGCTTCGAGCAAACCACTGCATGCAAGGGCCCTCCAACCTTCAAATTGCCAAAACCTTCGTCGCATCGTCAGGGTTATCACGGTGTGACGGATGTTTTCTTGTTGCCTTCATACAACGCAATCAAAACTAAACCGAAACCGTCTCCGCGCATCCGGGGCCTGCTGGCCCCTAGCTCCGGGAGCCATGGCTCAGGACGAGGCACCGACAGCAAACTTAAGAAATTCGGCTTTGCACTACGAAGCCGAAACAATCTGAAAAAGCCTGCAAGCATATGTTGACACCCAAAAAAATATGTCGCATGCCACATTCCAAAGTCATATGGGCATGTCTGGGAATGCATCTGCGGCAACGCTCACTGGAGAACATGAGACAGAACGGCAAGCGGGTGGGAGATCATCTTGATGGAGCCACTTGCTGAAACATATTCGAATTTTGTGAAGTATCCAGCACAGGTGCTCCAAGGGTCGCGCATGAAAAAAATAGATGTCATGTCTAAACTCAAGCCCAAGCCGATATCCAACGACGGGTGCTAGCACTTCGCAAGCATGCAATGGATGCACTGCAAAGGAGCGCGAAAAAGAAATTCGGCGCCCAGGCAAAAGCAACAAACAAAACTTGCCGTCTCCAGCCTGAAATGAGCTATGCCAAAGTTGCTTAAGCTCCGAAAGCCACACCTGCAAAATTCGCCTTGTCGTTGACCTAACACCGCAACCTATGTTTGCAGTTTCACGGACTCGGGCCTCCCGAATCCCCACGATGCCTGAACAAAACGTCTTGAAGGAGTTGGACGAACACCCGCACGGGCGCAATGGCAACCCCTGGCGATCTTCATGACAGGTTCTCTCAACAACCGAACTTTTCCCAACTCATCGCTCCGACGTGCCCCGTGCTAGAGCCCAGGAGAAGGCACGCTCGCGCAAACCTGGCAGCACTGACTCCAACAAACGAGGCTTCAGGAAGGTTTCGTGCGACTGAAACAAACCGGGATTTCCGTTTCGAGCATGGTTTCTTGCGGATGGCGGAATGCTTTTTCTTTTTATGAACATGTACCTCACCGCAAGAAACGTGGCTTCTAGCAGCATTGTTGGGGGATGGTGCCATTGCTGGTGACCGTGATGCTTTGTTTTGCCGACCACATCTGTTAGCATCATGTGCTTTCATCATTGACCATGCTGCTACGAATACCATCTTGTCTGTTGCTGCTGAAGCTGAAGGACGCCTTACTGGAAAGCCTCTTTGGAACTGCCTCTGGAACTCCTACAGCCGCTTGAGGTATGAGTTGACGGCCCCGCAGCGCACTGAAACTGCAGGCGGCGCGCTAGCAACACTAAGCTCCATGTCGAGTTTGCGGTGCCCGGTGAATAGTCTCGACTCGTGGATTCACAGCGATCCAGAGCACGGGTGCTGGTACCAATGCGTGTTTGTTAGCCCAGCTTTCGGGGTTCGGCAAGCAACAAAACCTTTTGCTGGGAAGCTGGCTCGACGGGAGCCCAGTCATCGAAGCCTCACCAGGCTACAACGGGGGCCTTCATTGTAATGATAGGGGTCTTATGGGTTCTACACGTGCTACCATAAGGGCTCCATATACGGGCTTTAATGATAAATAACTACATATAAGTTCGTTCAAACAGATGGCGACGTTAAGGGGATATCACCGCTATGCGAGTAGTAGCAACTCCGTTTTGGGGGCGTGGGGTCTTGGGATCTGGTGTCCGGAGCTTTGAGGGTTTCAGATTTGGGGCTTTGGGTGCGCTCTAGAGAACTTCATGGTCCTATCAGGGTTTGCATTACAAGGACTTCGGATTGAGCGTCCGGACTTGCCGGTAGCCCCAAAAGTCTACAGTCACAAAACCCGTAATCTCACACCACAGACAGACCTCCGCAATCCTCCCCGGTCGGACATGCAGCTGCTTGAAGCTGAGAAGTGGCATGACGGCCCTGCCCCCTTCAGCCTTAGCTTCTCTCTTTGAGTTCGTTACCAACCTCCCTCAAAACCTTTCCAAGAGCCCGACACCCTGACCCGAGCAAGCATCCCTCGATGTCGAATTGCTGCATTGTTCCGGGAGTATTCCATTCCCGGTCTCTTGCGTTCTCACACGCAGACCATGCATGGAACGACACCTGATGCTGTCGTCGTCGGCCCGTGCGAAGCAGAAGCCTAGATTTGGGCTTCGAGAACTCGTACATGAACCTTCTTCTGCCAGCAACAACCCAAACCACGGGGGCAGGCCTCCGGCCAAGGACCATCCTGCATGACTTGTCCAATCATGCACTTGGAGGCTCAGGACACATTGCGACATGCACGATCTGTGGCACTCCTCATCAGCATCGTCGCCTATGTCGCCTCACACAAGGTTCCATAACTTCAGGTTGAAGTTGTAGCTGAGCTTGCAATCCCAACTTCCAGCTGGAATGCATCTGAAACATGCAGGGAGCCGTTGGCGCCGTTCAAAACAGGCGTGATGCTCGTGCACATACAACAAAACGCACAAAGCAAGCGAGAGACAGAGTACAATTCAACAAGGCTACAGATGGTGAATCCTCAATCGCAAAACCCCATGGCGATGATGATAACAGACAAGCTGACGTCGGAGAGTTTGAAAAAGAATGCCTTGCCAGTGACCGTACCAATTATGTCCCTTCTCCTTGAGCTCCTGGCCCAAGGAAACGAGTCGCCCCCGGCATGTTTTTCGCATGCCTCATGGCCACACGCCATAACCAAGATCCAAGGAAATGCAGAAACATCCGGAGGCAATGCAAGTGTACGGCCACTTCTTTTTGGCTGGCTGCGTGAGTTCCTCCTACAGGAAAGACCGTGTGAGACAGACTTCAGCATGCCGGAGCTTGGCAATCTCTTGATGCAATTGTCCGCACAAAGCAGCACAGTCTCTCAATCCTGCCATTTGCAATCCAACCCTAGCGGCGGCTCCGCTTTGCCTGATAGACGACGTTATCGACGCTGCCGCCGCCAGCTTCGGCATCGGTCCACGGCAGATCCCAGCCTCAACGGTAGGAGGGGAAACGCGGACTGAAGGAAGCCTTGCAAACGTGTTGAGTTAGAGGGTCAGCAAGTATCCATGACGACAGTTTGCAACTACAGGAGTATAGTATAGCATAGCATAGTATAGTGTAGTAGAGTTCATATAACATAATTCATAATGTAATGTACTCTACTAGCAAACCCTGGGCTCACCAAAGAACCCATTCATAGATCAACAGGATCTGGGCCTCGAAACAGCCCCGAGCTTTGTTTACAGGCGAAACCAATTTTGGATTGTCGGCTTGGCAGTTGACAGATGTTTAAAGACTACTTAGCCAAGCACCACGTAGGGAGAATCTAAGCGAGAGAACGCGAAAGACCGAGAGCGCGAAAGAACAAGTGTGAATCAGTCGCTTCAGAAGCAGAAGCCTAGTGAACCCCCTAGTCAACGGCTCACTGGAAGAAGGGCCCTGCCAGAAGCGCCTTGAAGAAGCGCCGCACGTCTGCACCGTGCTGCCATCCGATTTGTCGTGTGACAGCAAATGCTGGCTGCTTGGTTTTCATAGTTTTCTTGCCTGCCGCGTTGTCGACTCATCCGCGAGCAGTGTGGATGCTCTAGCTGTGAAATTATCCTCGTTGGGCCATGAAACTTAGGGCGTTGACACCAGGACAACGAGGTCTGTGGGAGTTTCCTTTATTGCTGCTCGTTCACGAAACATCTGATAAGTCTGATGGTTCGAATAACTGTGCTTCGCTCCTTTCTGCTTTGCAGGTGTTTCTGCTGCGCCCCCAGCCCCCAACAATAGAGAAGGCTCAGATCTTGGATTGTTTTCTTGCTTGCCTGATCTTCTGCATGCTGCGGGGTTGTCCAGGTCGTCCGTGCACCAGAAAGGCTAAAGTGGCTAAAGGCAGATATTTGCAAGCATCCTTCCTCTCAGTGTTGCCTATCTTGTGACATGTGCCATGAGCAGTCGTCCTTTTTCATTTCTCGGCAATGAGCGGGTCAAGGATCGCCAAGGTTATCAGCAGTGCCTCTTCGGTGCCTTGGCCCGCACGCACCGCACATGCATGACCACGGAGTCTCTGCGCAAAGGTTACGAGCACAGAAGGTACCTCTGAACGTCTCCCCTCAGTCTCGCCTCAGAACCGATGCTCCTATCAAACTATTGGTATAGCTCCAAAAAACCAGAGCCTCAGGCAGCCGAGTGTCGAATTGTCCGAGACTTCTGACGTGGGCACACGTTGACATATCGGCTGAACAGAGACACAGGGTCTGTGTCAGCCTTGTAGCCACTCTTTGCATCAGCAAGAACCTGCACAGGCCCAAAATCCACTTCTGACCCGGGCCTGTGGAGGCACCTCTTCAAATCCACCCAGGCCACCGAAAGCCAGCAGCAAATGCCTGGCGAGCGAGGCGAGAAACTCGGGTCACTTGGAGCAACTCCCTCCTGTGAATGTTCACCCTTTGGCCTGAATTTTGGCAATCGCCCCAGCCCCAGTGACTCGCCCCGCTCAGAGGTGCCAATCGAAAGGTCGTACCCTCCCTCCCAGGGGCATTCCTCGGTGGTCCACGTGTGGCGGCAGCATCTGGAAAAAGTCAGAAGCCTCTTCCGAGCTCCGGTCATCGAAGACAGCTTTCAAGCTGCCGGCCAACCTCTTAAGAGAGACTTCGACTCTCGTCGTGTCGTGTCGACTCATTGGGCCAATGCAACTCGGCACACGCTCCCTGCACTTCGACGGGGCCTTGTTTGGAAGCCCCAGTAGAGCCCCAGCTGCTCTCGAGGCTCCTGGGGGTCTACCGCCCGTCCTGCCGAGGACGAGGCGCAGCTCGCTGTGTCGTTGAAAGAAGCACCGCACTCTCCAGAGTTGGAAGCCCCAAAGCCTTGCCGCGTGGCACCGCCGCGGCCTCCGCCACGGCCGCGGCCACGGCCGCGGCCACGGCTCGAGGGCTCCTCGTCACGGAGCTCTTTGAATTCATGGGCGGGCTTTCATCTCAGCTATCCGCGTCCTCATCCAGGCGGACCGTGACCCGCACGTCTGTAGCGATTTCTGAGCCTCCCATGACTGAGAAATGCTGAGAGGAGCCTTTCATGAGATGGACCGGGCCTGCCACCCACACGGGGTCTTCCAAACCGCAGTTTACCCAGCATCCTGAGCGAATCTGCAGAATGCAAGCTCTTGTCGACACACTGCTTGGTGAAGCGCGATAACGCTGGTGCCGCCAGGGGCTCTTCTTGTTTCCTCATTCCCCTTCATCTTCTTGGCAATGTGGGATATCCAACGACTGCCGACTCCCGCTGACAGGTGAGACCAGCTACACTTAAGGAAAGCTCCGCTGCGGTGTAAGGACGGCACATTCCCTTTGACCCTTTGGATGGACAAACGCTTAAACGGTTCATTTGCCAAGCAGCCCTTTTGCTCATCCTCGTCGGCATCTGTTTGAGGGCGGTTCATCTGCTTCTTTAGCACAACTCCTTCGCAGTGCAATCTGGCCGTCTGGCCACGCAACTCTGTCTATACAGGGTCTATACTGCTATACCTTGTACGGGCACATGCACGTAATCGAGTCGAAGCCTACATCAAGAGCCGTTGAGGTGCTCGTTTCTTTCTGTGTGCCTCTTGGGCTTTCCATCATGGCTGCTCCTTCTCGGTATGGAAGGTTCTCATATTTGCGCAGGTGATGCGGTGCATCCAGCGGGGCCAGCAAGCCCACCCACTTGAGGTCCTGCGCGAAAACACTGGTGAGATTTCGGTGAGAGGTGGCCACACATCACGAAAGAAGCCTGCAAAGCAAACGCAAGAAAGTACTTTTCCATCTGCATTCGTTCCCTTCGTTGCTTGACAGAATGCAGCGGAATCCTTGTGATGAGGTACCAGCTGCTTTCTCAAGTACTGGGGAGTCTCCAGGTACTGCAGGTTCCGCGCGAAGAATGCCATGCTATTGGACACGCCGTCCTGGCACTTGGGCAATCAGTGTCTTGCTGAAGCGGAATCTGCTGTGCGCACGTGTGTGCACATGCAACGCATGCTTCCTCTTCGCTCTCCACAGCATCCGTGCGATCCTCGAAGATCACCACCTTGACAGCAGCCACTGTGTTGGTGGCTGTCTCTGTAGCCCCCCAGATCAGATCTTACCGGAGCCTCGTCGACGCCGTAGATGGTCAGGGCTCGCGCAATCTGCCCGACGAGGACTGCCTTCAACTCGCCACCTTGCGCGTTTTCCTCAGGAAGTCTTTGCAGGGGCGTGCTCTCCGCACAGACTTTACAAGTACCGGATGCTACTGGATGACGTACAGCGGGCATGGGTGGGCGGCCAAGCGTCCACAATGCTGGCGGGCAGTGCGACAGACACCGTGGTTAGCCGGCCTGACTTTGGCCTCAGGCTCTGGTACGTACAAAGGCAGGCCAACAGTGCAGCTGTTCCGAAGCACGGAGCGCAAATTTGCTTGCTGCTTGGCTGGATGGCTTGCTTGACCTCGCCTCTACAGTAGCGTGTTCGTCTTGCTCTTACTGTCAGATCGCCGATGTAACACACTCGTTCACAAGCTGTACAAGACCGGAACTTGGCAGCAGAGAACTGCTGAAGACACCACCACGACAGAAGACAGCAATTTGCAAGGCACGGCGATGACCAACCTCCATGCGGACACTCTTTGGCCAGCGCAGCACAACAACAGAAAGACGAATCGCCACGCCGACGACAACAACAGCAACACAGGACCAAACAATGAGGCTCTAAGCGAAAATGGCCAAAGCACCTTGACACATGCAAAATCGAATTGGGACTGGGCACTCAACCAGGCACTCGATTTGTTGACGCAGACAGATGATGCATGCCCGGCTGTCCACTCTTGAGGCATGTTCTGCCAGATCAATGGTAGCTTAACCAGTTCTCTCTACCCGAATTTCTCTCAGACACTGGCTTGAGCATCTGCACAGCGCTGGGCTTGGATGTTGTACCACGGCCTCTGCACCAGCTGCTCGGAATCTGGGCTTTCACTTTTGGGAGCCATTCCGAAGACTCTCAAGGTGAAAGTTGCGACTGGAACATGCTGCTGGTCCAGCATCGACTACGTGCACCTCCAACAGAAACCACTCTACTGCAGTTGTCCGCTCCACGGCCTGGACCGGTCTTCGGCTGGCCGCCTGCTTCCTGCCCCTCTGCCCTCTGCCGCCGTGGGCCCTCCTCCGGCTCCTGTGGCTCCGCATCCTGCTTCTCCTGCTTACGCTTCTTGCCACCCATGGCAGGCAACAGTTGACGACTATAGCATGTACAAATCGAGGCTGCCTTTAGCATACTGGATACTGTCACCTGTGTCAAGTCAATGTCTCATCCGTCGTAGACACTAGACATGAGGACACCATAGGTCCGGGTGCATCTCTGGCCTCTAAGCTGTGTGGCTTGTAAAGCCATTCTGCTGGGAATTCGCGTAAGCACGGTGTGGATGTAGTGGTTGCGTTGCGCCTTAGTTTGACTTTGATCCATTGCCGGAATGCACCAACATGTACCGGACAAGGCGCGGAAGCACCTCATCGGTATTGCATTCCGGCCCCAACCCTAATTATGGGTCAATGGACCCCACCATGCCCCTGGCAGGTGTGCATTGTGTCAACCTTTTTCACTGAATGCCTTCGCCAGGTCAATGCCGCCGCACATATTTTAAGCCACGTCAGGCCTCTGTTCAGCCAACGTGCACAACTGTCTTGCAGCCAGGCATCCAGCCACAAGAGTGAGACGGTAAACGAACTGCTTGAGGGCTTCGTAGCTGGACCGCCATAGAAGCATTGCTGCTCATTCAGGGTTGCTTATGACGAATTCTGACGGCTCAGGCCTTGGATTTCACGGATTCGCGCCTGGGCTGAGCCAACTTCAAACATGAATCTATTACTCCCACAGTTTCGGAATGCCTACAGCTCTAATGCCCAAGAGCAAGATACCTGGAAGCTTGGGAGCCCAACCAGATTGGCGCGCCGGCCACGCAAATGGGCCGCGCCTTCGCCACGGTCGCGGAGCTGCCTGTGTGCGTTGTTGCTCGGTGGGGAAATCTGCAGCTAAGGCTAAGGTGCAAGTGAAAATCGAGGCCAAACCTGTCTGCATCACGTGGCTGCCATTTCCAACCTGGAAGCTCAGTGGCATTGGCCCTCCATACATACAGTAACGCATTGGCCCTCCATACATACAGTAACACGTGGGCAGTAGAGCTAGAAACGAAGCGATTGTTGGGTTCTGTCTTCCGGGCTTCGGGGTGCCACTGTGCCGAGTTCCTGGCGCACGGGCGGAGCTACCTGTCACACTCCCAGCACGCCACGCATTTGTATGCAAAGACGTCCGTTCGTCCGTCGGTCTCTGTCTGTCTGTCTGTTGATCTGTTCTCCAGGGCATAGAGAAGCCCTTCGTGCCGAACGGCTCAACCGTTTTCAGGGCTTGGTAAGAAGACGTGAAAAAGCAACCAAGTCACCCGAAGAAAGGATCCATAAAGGAGCAATCGAGTTGAAAAAGACATGGATGCCAGGTCTGCGGACTAGTAAAAAGCTACCGAAGCACGGTGTGTTCTTCAGGGTTCAGCCTGTCTGCATCTCTGTCTCTGTCTGCATGTCTGTCTCTGTCTCTGTCTCTGTCTCTGTTTGCTTTGCTTTGCTTAGGGCATGGGGCGGGAGCAGGCCTCCCGACCCGCGCGAGTGCCCCATCCATTATTTTCAATGGATGGGCTCGGCTGTGCTAGAAGCGTGTGCCCCTGTTGGGCTGGTTCCCCTGGGGATCAGCTGGTAGAAGAAAGCAAACACTCTGAGGCCCGGGCCGCAAACTCTGTCTCTGTCTCTGTCTCTGTCTCTGTCTCTGTCTCTGTCTCTGTCTCTGTCTCTGTCTCTGTCTCTGTCTCTGTCTCTGTCTCTGTCTCTGTCTCCGTCTGTCTCTGTCTCTGTCTCTGTCTCTGTCTCCGTCTGTCTCTGTCTGTCTCTGTCTAGCTGTCTGTGTCCGTCTGTCTGTCTGTGTGTCTGTATCTTGTGCATGTATGTCTGTCTATACATAGATGCTTCACGTAACAGAAGTAGAGTGAGAGAAAGGCAAGACAGGGACAATGACTGCAAAAGACGATGAGATGAACGGTAAAGCCGAGAGAGAGTCAGACAGAGATAGAGAGAAGCACACGGGTGAATAGACAACTACAAACGGATGTGGGACGAACAAAAGACTGTTCCAGGTTTACATGTTTTCTCCGCAAAGCTTCCTTGCCAAAGAGGACTGTGGGAAACTGCTGGAGGACCTGCATCTCAGCGCCGCTCCATCGCCGGCTGCTCGCTGCACCTGGACAGGATTCCATGGACAGAAAATCGGCGCCTTTGCCGCTGACTGCAGCCAGGCGGCCCAAGCTTCCGGGCGACCTGCAGCTCACTGGAGGCAACGGACTAGGGCACTAGGGATGGCACGGAAGGACTTTGAGAAAGCTGCAATCACAGGAGCAGAAAGGTGTCTCTGCTACCGGTACACACTACAAGACCTCAGCCTGCCTCGCAGCTGCGGTCACTCCCAAGCCACGAACTCAGCAAATTTTGCCCCAAACCTCCGCGATTTGACAGCAGCACTCTGGGAAGGCAGCGGCGTGCGCGTCGAGGCGGAGGAGGATGGCAAGGACACCACGAGGCTGGGCGATGTGGCACCCGAAATGGGCCTGGCCTCGCAACTGAGACGCAACGCAACATGTACCTCTTGCGCCCGGCCCGGCTGCAGCGGCGAAACCCGAACAGCGGCTCTTGCACCGTTCCGAATTCAAAGAGTCTGCAAAGGAGTCTAAAGGCCTCCCCGGCGCGATCGGAGCCATCCGAGCCTCCAAGCTGGAAATTGAAGCCGACGAAAAAGCACACGAAATTCAGAGAGAGCGAGACAGAGACAGAGAGACAGACAGAGAGAGAGAGAGAGTGAGGCAGAAAGTCAGAAGTGCACCTCGCAGGGATGGATAGCCACGCTCCTGCGAAGGCCATGGAGGCGACTTCCGGAGAGATGAAATTGGTCCGATCGGTCCTGGACCTGCGCTAACTCCAGGGACCTGAGCACTTCGACTTCAAGTGCGATGTGCTTTTTCAAGGGTCACACTCCGGCTTCAGGACTTCTGGCTCAGACATCACTCTGCGGATTCTGCATCTCTGCTACAGCCGAAGTCACAACCCCGCGTGACTGCTCACGTCTGCCTGCACTGCGACCAGACTCGGCTCCCCCGCGTCGCGTGGGCCCGGGCTGCTCGGAGTTCACCAGGCAAGCCCTGCGAGGCAGAGGCAGGAAACCCCTTTTTGTACTTCGAGACGCCGAGCCACGGGGCGCAGCGCAGCGGCCTCTCTGCCCTCTCCTTGCCTGTATGTGCGGATGGGGTCTTTGCGTCCCTGGCGCCCTGGCGATTCAACAGTGGCGGCGGGTGCTCGAGTGTTGGTTAAAATTCCCGTTGAACAGGGACGGAGCTGGAAAGGACACGGTCGGACACGCCTTGCCTAAACGACTGATGCATCTCCCACCACTGTTCGTGAATTCCAATGAACTGCAGGCTCTGCCACGGCTTGCTGCGGCCTCGGAGGTCTCTCGATGGGCGGTGGTGCCAAATTCATCTCAGGGGCGGAGGAAGCTCAGAAATGTGGCTTCCAACGTCCCGTCTCCGCCCCCAGGCCTCATGCTGCAGCCCCGGCATGCCAGAGGTGCGGACGAGGCTTAAGTGGGTGTGCTCTTTGAGCATTGAGTCTCTGAATCTGTGGCTTCGACCCAGGACGTGCTCAAGCGAAAATTTGCATGCCGGGCAGAATCAGTTGTGGCCGCACATGGGGAAGTCTCTCTGGATGGTGGAGCTCGAGACTCATGGCTGCTGATTGTCAACCCTGGCACGCAACGGAAGCAGAAGCAGACAAGGCACAGTTCTGCAATCCCTGAGCAACCCTTGACTGCAAACCACCAAGAACAATAAACATCCGGAATCAACCCGTCACCTTTAACAATCCCAGACTCTGCGCTCCTTCCGAAACAAACCAAGCTTTTTGTCAGATGGAACCGCTGCTTTGAAACGGATGGGGCACCAGGGAAGTTCCCACCATCTTGCGGACTGCCCCAAAGGCATTACCCCCCAATCCTGCACATCCTGCACTGAGTGTCGCATGTTCGAGTACGACTGGGCCCTGGGACAAAGGCTTCCTGACCGTCTGACCATCGGATCGCTGACATCTGTGCTTCTACGACTGATGCGCCTCTCAAGCTTCATGCTTCGTCCATGCTCTGTCGCAACAGAAGCGCATGCGCGAAGGACGTCTCCTTCAAAGCAGCAAACAAACGGCGTGTGGTTCAAACATGCGTGCAGAACTTTGGCCTGTGATGTTCTTTTTCTCTCGGAGAAGCCCTTGCCATCTTGCCGCCAACTCCCTGTTGGAGTAGTTCCCGGGCTCTCTCGATAAAATATTGTTTCATCCAACGCCTGCTGTACACGTCATGTCTGGGCACCACGTGATCATCGCCGCCTGGCCCTGAGCACTACAGTGCAACCAAATCGTCGCTCATTTGCAGTGGCTCTGGTCCTGGGTCTTTGCCCCTACATGCCCTATGTGAAAAGGAGGACGGGTGTCATGGAGCTCAGGGCAACGGCTGTAGGATCCGGGAATGTCTCACTGAAGCACGACGCCTCAAAGCGAGGTTTCAAACCCCGGTTCAAACTTAGAACGACTGCACCTCGCACGGCATAACTTTAAAAGATGTCTGTGATCGTAATCTGAGCTTTGCCGTGTGCGCCATGCATACCGAGGTGCTTGTTTAAGTGTTGCATGGCAAAGCTTTGGCCTGCAAAATGCGCGGGACTCTACGTGCGGCTTCAATCAGCATCGAATCATCGGCATTGCTCGAGTCATCCTGAAACCGGGAAAGATTCCTGGCATTTCCGCTTGTCTCCACAGATGCTCTAGCTTTACACCGTCATAACGACCTCCTCCTATTTACCTGTGAAGAGAAGACAACAAGCGCCCAGGCAACGAAACGTGTGACTATTTCAACAGCGATAAGGTGGCACGTGACAGTGCACAGCATGAATCTTTACAGCGAAGCGACAGTCCAGAAGCAAAGGCAAGTATTCAAGAACAAAGTCGTTGACAACAGTTCAGGCTTGGAAACTGTGTCGTGCTGCAGAAATCATCCTCTTGCCTTCGCGCTGCGAGCCGTCTGCGTGCAACTCAGTTTAATGCTCTCAAGCGGGGGTCCAAACTCAAATGCTGGGGCCTCGTGCTGTGGGGCAAAGCCAATCTGCTGGCATCGAGGGCACTTATGGCCACCCGCCTGTCCTCTGCCCGTCTCGCCAAGAGTCCAAGAGAAGAGTCAAAAGAAGTGTGCTGTCTTGAATGCAGCTCGTCGAGCCGGGCAATGGCAGTGTCGCAACAATGGTTTACACATGCAATAACGATCATGCACGGCCCGTGCTGCCCACGCGGAGTGAAGTTGGGCTCGCATGCACAATCGGCCCCCTTACCTGATCCGGGATGCAAGACACGAAGAGCATCGCATCCCAAAGCCATTCTGTGCAAGTGCTTAACTTTGACAAAGTGGGATGTTTCTGCACTTCCGGACATCTTCCTGCGGAGAAGCATCACAATCCTCGGTCGTTCGATCACCAGACGCGGCACTCAAGGCGAACATGAAGGCTTCGTCACACAGCACGCATGGACATTATGTCAGAGGCCGTTTCGCCTTCACGTCGCCTGTGCCTGAATCCTTTGTGCTCAATGCATTTCACCACACAGCGGGCCACTGACGGCCAAGGCACGATCTGGGAGACTGCATTCACAAAACACACCTTTGTACTTGCCTCGGGGCAGAGAAACACATCTGCTGCGCAAGAGACTACGGCACTCTGCTAAATCTACGTGTACCCATCACAGAACAGGAAATCTCCAACCGGTCGAGGTCTAAGAGTCCTAGACTGCCCGGACCTGATCCGCAAATAAAGAGTGCTTATGCCAACAGAGGTTTGCAGGTTACCCATTTACGCAACTGCACACATGTAGCACGGGCGCAAGAGAAAGGACTGAAAGCAAGAGAGGGAAAGCAATGGGAAGGGCTTCCGAACAATGTTGCAGAGAATCTCAGGAGACACTTCCAATCCTTGTCAGGCCTGCTTTGTCGCCCGGGCAGCCGCGAGTGGCACCATACCCTGGCGGTCAGACTTCTGCGCTTCGGGTAGACGTTTAACCACACATCATACATACATACTTCTGAAAACTGAAAGTCCGCGAATGGATGGATGGATGGATGGATGGATGGATGGATGGATGGATGGATGGATGGATGGATGGATGGATGGATGGATGGATGGATGGATGGATAGATAGATAGGTATGTAAATAGATGGACAGATAAATAGACACAACGATTCACAGACAGACCGACCGACCGACAGACACAGACAGACAGACAGAGTGTGTGTGTGTGTGTGTGCGTGTGCATACCGCTATATATGTATATACAGTCGAAAACATGTGTATATATGTCAATGTAGACATGGTCACACACACACACACACACCGGCCCCGACCAGGATCTGCACCTCCCTTCTTCCCAACTCTTCCTCTAAGGTCACCGGTCTTTCCAACGTTCGACATAGGTATGGAAAGCATTATTTAATCAATAGTCTAAATTATCTTACAGCAGATGCTGTACTTCGCATATGCGTTCATGCCTTTCTTGGCTGATGTGTCTCAGGGAAAAACAACATCGCGGCATTTTGCGATCTGCCACTGGTTCTGAATGAAAAATCTAATCGCTGTTCTTCGAGCCGCAAGACATGAGAAAGCTCTTCTTTAAGTGAAAACTCGTCTTTCATAAGAAAACATAAGAAAGCTTCTGAATCCCCTGATGATAAGAAGTTACAGAGTTCCTAGATCTTCCCCCGTAGAACAAGACATGCAATCCTTGCCCTAATCAGAATCATGAAACCGCATTCGGATATCTGTGTAATTTGGGAGACAAGTCCAAGTATATCTCAGATCATTCGGTCATAACTGGTCATAATCAACAGTACCCAAAATCTTTACAAGTATCTGCCCGTCGCAAATATGATAGCTCGTTGCATGAAAAGAGACTCCAGACTGTTCCTGTTCCGTCTACTACAAGAGAGAAGTAACGAAGCGTCTTTCATCGCTTTCAATCAGTATAAGACAGCCTTGTCGTCTTTTACCACAAATGTGAAGCAGGCCTAAATCTCGTCATGTGCTGAAACGGGCTAGACCCTCTTAGAAGCACCTGATCTCAAATCAGGAAGGGGATGGGGAGCTCACTTTTTCGTTTCAAACCGACCAGATTGTCTTGTCTTAGCAAGAAACGGCAGAACTCCCTGTTCGTTAAAGGCAACGCTTCAAGACGGGCAAGAGCAACAAACCCCCCACGTCGGCAGGGCCACAGGGGTGACGGTGAGGGGAGATTGAGGCCAAAACCAAGGGAGAGGGAGAGTCCTCATGCCGCGCATGTTATTGTTTCGGCCTGCTGGTACCGACCGGGTCCCCAAGCCGGTCGTCCTTGCCAGGTTTTATGCATTTTCCCGGGCGAGCGGGAATCTCTGCTCGGAGCTGCTCTCGCTGAAGCGCGGGCATCGACCGGAGCCGCACCGGGCCCAAACACTGCCAATGACTGGCCAGAATGAACAGACAAAATAAACTTGTATGTGTTCCCCCCTGACGCAAACCCGAACCCACCCACCCAACAGCGGAGCAGGGAGTTACCAGACCATGAAGCGGGGAGGGAGGCGGCGCGTTTCGTCTGTTTTTGGGGTGCAGAATGAGACAACCCTGCTTGTCCTTCACTTCAGAACGTTGCTCTTCCACAGCTTAGCCATCAAAGCGTACTTTTTGTTTAACAACGGATACGAAGTCTCGTTGTTGGCCAAGACGCATAAGAACACGCCTTATCCTAAACAGCAACTACAAGACTAAGAGAGTAGAATTACACAAAAATCTCCGGAGAGTAAAAGGCAGAACTTCGGCACACTCAAAATTACCGAATCAACATTGCTTTGCAGGTCTTGGGTGGCTTGAGGTAATTTCGGGTACTGTTTAGCCTGACCGATGTTTTCGCTTTGCAACTCATCTCCCAGATCCAGCTCATACAAACAGACAGTATGGATCAGGCGGGGGCGAGCACATCTCAGTTGTTTGTTTATTCGCTTTCTGACTTCCTGATTTACTCATATCAAGCTACGCTGTGCTTCCACATGGACGCTGCTCGTAGGGCTGTCAATTATACTGTTGGTCGTATAAAGAATGCGCTCAACTCATCAACGGCCGCGGAGGCGATCGGAAGATTTCTAGCGGAGAGATCTTCACTATCTAGCAAGGGCTGCAATCCCTCTCAATGCTTGACTCGCAAAATTACAAACTAAAAACTACTTAGCAGAAGTTAAGTGCTGACACAATGTAGGGATCATCATGCAGAGGTGGAAAATGACTAGCAGTATCGATTACAGGATATGCGGTTCCCATCCGAGCAAGGTGTCCCGGAATTTCAGGCAAACAAACCCATTCTTACCAGAGCTGCGACATTCAGAATTCCCGGATCACGAATGTCTGCGTTTCCACAAGTCCACTCATCGAACAATCCATAATTCCAAAAAGTAACAATCCGGAGTTCCAAACTCCAGAAATCCAACAGTCCAAAAAAAAAAAAACAATGCCAAACTCCTCAAGCCCGAAAACACATCAACACACGACAGGCCCGGGCTTCACGAGCGAGGGAGTGTGTGCTGTTTGGTGAAAAAAGACTGTTGTCGTACACAACCTTATTGATACATATGTTATTGCATATCATGCGCAGCTGTATGTTAGGTGATATATACGTTCTACGTTATCTTAGTTATAGACTATAGAATAATATTGCTGTGTGTTCCGATGCGTTCGGTATGTCTGCTGCATGGCACACTATAAAGCACCAGAAAAGTACTATGGATACTGCAGCATGTGGTATTGATCTGCAGTACTTACATTTTGTGACAATCAGTGTGTCGCAGCTTGAAATGCGAGACATTGTTCTGAGATTATGGTGTACATTGGACATGAAAACCGGTTTGCGGGACACGGCAGGGTAACCACTCCCAGGCCTTCGCCGATAAGCCCGAACATGGGATTGCCTTGTGAGTGCTTTGATTTTGGGCTGTTGAGGCCGTCTCTGACATGGATCTTCATATGATGTGAGCACTGCCGGTGCACTTCTGGAACGATGCGGCACTCGTCTGGCTGCTGGACAAATCTAATTACTAATCTCCCTCTGATCCACCCCAGCTCTCGGCAGGTCTTCCTTTGTGAGCAAAGCGACGGACGGCAGGCCCAGCACCGCGGTGGCAGTAGACGTCACAGCTTGCGTTGTACTTCTGAGTGTAAGCCTCCTGGGCTGGCGAAGGGCTCACGCGCTTGCCGTGTCCTGTTGCATGCAAAAGCCGCAGCTGCAAACATGCTTTCGATCCGAGAGCTTGCAATGTGACAACCGAAGTCTCCCCCAATCTCTCCCATGCCAGGAGTCATTTTCCACAAGGACCATACCAGCAGAACACACGGCCACTAAGTCCGGCCACTGTTCGGTCTGGCGGGCCTCACCAGTAGCACAAAACCAGCGAGCTCGCGATTGAGTCAGCTGTCTATCGCAGCCACAGCATAGAAGCATTCGTACTCTCCCTCCGTCCTACCACTTGTTTCGAAGTTGCCTTTGCCAAAGGGTGTGCAAAGGGCTGCTGGCAGCTCCAGCCTGCAGTCGAAGCTACAGGGAGTTGGTGCGACGAGCACAGCACGATGCGGGAATATCAAGTAGCGTGCCGACAGTTTTGGCTCGCGACATGGCATGCGCATGACACTTCAACTCGATGAGTCTCTTCCAGTGTATACCACTAAACACCATCTTGCTCCATGTACTAAGCATGTCATAGCAATTCGAAGTTTTCTTAAGTTCGGTTGCGGCGAAGAACATGCAAGAAGACGGAACTGCAGGGACTAGGAGAAAGTCTCCGAAGGACAGCTACAGCTGCTCTCGCAGTGCCTGTTCCAGGAGAGCAGCTCGCCCGGCAGTATGCTACTCCATCATGCTGCCTCAGTCGTGTCACAAAAACCCGAGGTTGATTGGAGTCTTTTCGGCCCCACACAGCCCACCTGCTTCATTCCGTAGATGAACTTCCCGATGAGCTTGACCCAATTGTGGGAATGAGCTCTTGAACGTGCGCCTTCTGCCCCGTGCAGGCAAGCGGCTGGAAGCATCGATCGAACATCTGTGCACAGCAGCCTGACTGCTGGCAGGATCTTCCAGACCTTGGCGGTGAGGCAGTCGGGGACAACGCGAAGTTGAAAGCTTCCAAAACTTGACTCCATACTGCGTTGGCGAATAACTTCTGAGAACTTCCGAAGCAAGCCATAAATCCCGGATCTCCGCCCAGAGGCATGGAGCAGCGTGGACGGCCTGCGTCGCAAGAACATCCCGGGAAGTCACCCGCAAACTGCCACCCTGAAACCGCGGTTGACACAGTACATCGCAGCACTGGCGCCTTGTTCTGTCAGCCGCCGCATTGCCAAATCATCATGGTGCCAGCAAAGCAGCGCTACGACAGCTCCGAACACGAGCCTCGGCGCGCACAGAACTGGCTGAATGCAGACTGCGGAGGCTGCAATGTATCCGTACCCTTTATTCGTCATTCCGTTCTGGCAAACACTCAGAACACAGGCTCACTCTGCTGGTTTTCGACTCCGTTTCTTCGCGTTTTGGCTCATGGCTACCATTTCCCTTTCTTGTGCTCCTTGACGGTGGGGACTGCAGGACCTGGTCCTCGTTTTTCATTGTCGAGTGGGGGAGGGGAGGGCAATGCCTAGTCAGTGCTATTTGAATCTATTTGAGCCACCGCCATCCTCCCGCAGCGTGCACAAGCTTAGCTCATACTTGCTGGCTGGCAACGCAGCAGCAGCGAGCACTGAAAGTCGGTTCATGGTCCCGTGGCAGAACCTCGGGAGGAGGCGTTTCGTGTTGCCGCAGGCTTTACTTCACTGCACCCCTCGCAAAGAGATACTCTGCTTATCCGACAACTTGCAGCTGCTGCAAGACACGAAATGGCTGCAGCTATCAGCCGAAGCATCGCAGCTAGCTCTTAAAGAGCTTGGGTCTGGGATGGTCTGGGAGGTCTGGCACCGAGGAGCAGGAACCAAGCACTCTCTGCTGCACGAACGCGGCGTCGGCTGCGTCTTCCGATTTGGGCAGAATCGGCTGCGGGCGCAAGGAAACAAGGTTCGGAAGGGAGGTGAGCCTGTTCATAAGACGAAACGTGATGGACGGGATTCGCTCCTCTGACAGCAGCCAGGTGCGGATGGAATGGCAGTGGAGACCTTGGAACCCAAGGATGGGATGTTGAAGTACGTACATGGTTCTTGGCCAGATGAGGGGCGGTAGTCCGCCTTTCCCGTCTCTTTGGCAATCCTGTCCAGAATGCCCAAGAGCACGGCTTGATGGACTCTTCATGCTGTCGAAGAACGGTCAGAGAAAGGAAGTCGGAGCCCAACAAGAAATCTGTCACTGCTCTGCCTGTAGTCCTCGAAGATCTGTACGCCGTCCTTCTCCTGCGTTCGTGGGTGTGCGTTCCTGGCGAGAGAGCTTCCCTGTCGGCTCAGAGCTGAGAAAGCACTTGTCGGCTTGGCCAGGGCATGGAGCCCAGAGATTCACGGCCAGTGGAGCCGCCGATGAAGATCTGAGCGGCTTCGAAGCTCTTTCCATCACTAGTTTGAACATTCTTTGTAGACATCACTGGCTGACAGGTCCAAGCCAATGAGCACCGCCCGCTTAGCCTCCACATGTGAGATCCGCCCGGACGGTGCCCCCTCTACGTCGAGCTCCTCAAGTTTCAACGTGCTGCAGCGTTGTCTTGCCCTCAGGAATGAAATGGAATGAATCCACTCATGGACACCCCAGCTCCTCATGAAAGATAAGGTCTCCGGGTTCGCAGTCGGCTGGATCCTTGTCAAGCGGCCGCAGAGCTGACAGGGCCAATTGGAGAGACGGCCTCAAAAGAGATGGGCAGCGTGGCGCGGCAGTGCCTCGGACGGCAGAGTCGAAGAAATGACAAGCCCGCCATAGCTTGCGAAGCTTCTTTGCATGCGAGCATCACAGGCTTGCAGTTCGAAATCAGCAAGAAGCCAAACTCCTGCTTTGGGAAGACAATAGCAGGCATCAAGCAGAATCGCTTTCCGCTCTTCCGTCATGTCTGCTTGTGGGCCGGTCCTGCTTGAGGTCCTCGACCACCTTCAAAAGGGAGTTGAAGAATCACCAAGGTATACAATGGACAATGGCATACGATTTCTATACCTCCGTGCACGCCTTCTGCACAAGTTGGATGTTGTCCAAAAAGAGGGGCGCATCCTTCAGCTTGCTGCCGGGCTTGCACCTGGTTGCTTTCGATTGAAACTCGATCACCGGAACTCTCTCGATCACTAGGCGCAATACTTCCCACTGGCAGGATCGTGGTAGCTTCGGTGATAAGGAATGCCGACCTAGCCGTGCTTGGTGTCCGAGATGCCAATGGCAGTGTGTCTTCTCAACAACTCTGGTGCGGCCGAGTGACATATTTGAGCGCAGCATCCACAAACCTGCGTCGGAAGAAGCACGAGCACTTCTTGACCCATGTTTCCTCCCCCTCGTCTTCTTGCTTCGGTGTTCTGTGGTTGTGGTGCTGGTCGGTTGCTGGCTGCTCAAAACAATGCGACGAGCCGAAAGCTCCCATGCGCCTCTGCCTCAAGGCCTTGGCTGCCTCCGGAACCTGGCGCTGATAGGCCGCGTTCACCTGTCGTCTGAGAGCTGAGCCTTTCCTGCCCTCTCCCATCCTCTCCCCTCCTGCCTCGGCACAGTGGTGCTCGAGAGCCTTGCCGATGCGCAAGCAGCCAACAAGCGAGAAAAAAAAAGCATGCCACACTGCCGCACCCTTTCCTTGCCTTGCCGAAAGGCCACTGCGCCTCGGCCCATCCGCTCAAGCTGAAGTCCACACAGTGCCCTGGGCCCTGGGTTTCCTCACTGTGTTTCATAACCAGGCAGCTCTGACTGTTTTCAATTGGCAGCATGCACTGACTACGAGAAGAAATCGTTTTCCGGAATGCTGGACCACAACTCAGGCACTTAATCAAAAACCATCGGCAGGGTTCGACTGACGCTCCCAAAAAGGATCACATACACCCGCCACAGCTGGTCACCGGAAGCAAAGGGGGGATGTTGCAGGCGCTGCTGCGCACGTAGCGAGTCAGGAACTTCCCGCACAACCGATGTATGCTGTCTATGTCAACTGTCTGCAAAAGTGTCACACCTGTCCGACACAGAGTAGGAGTAGCAAATCTAGCAAACGGGCACAGTAGCATCTGTAGAACTGTGACGGAGACTTCGGTAAATAGGTGACTTCCCAGTGTGGCCTTCTCCGCCTCGTCATCAGGAAGCCGCTCTATCAGCTGCGTCTTCAGGCCAACCTGGGTGAAATTACACGTGTGAGTCCATGCAACCCCAGGTGGCATGAAGCACCTGTGTGCCATCAATGAGGATGTAGGCCGCCGATGGAACAGCCGCCTGCGACTCTGCTCGTCATGGGCTCTAACCAAAACAACTTTCGACCAAGTCCATACTTCTGCTTCTGCTCGCCCTGCCTTGCTGGCAGCACCAGCCCCGATATCCTTTGCAGAGCAGTGCTTTCGATTGGCGGCCGAAGTGGCCACAGTGACTGCTCATTGCTCCAGGATGGGACATGATGGGACCACAGCCGACCTGCCTCACCGTCCTCCGTCACACCTGGAGACTATACACTACGGTCTTTCGCGTTGTTAACACAGCAAGCAAAGGCATTCTGCACGTGTTGGGACCTGAAGATATCCGCCGAGGCCAACGGCCCAGGCGTCTTGGGGGTTACCTCAAGTACCCTCCACCTAATCCTCCTCCCTGCACCGCAAATGGTTGGACCCACCCTGTTTTTGCCTTCGTTTTCCACCCCCTCGCCCGGCTTCCTGTGATTTTGGCTGACTTTCGTGGCGTTTGCCTCCCGACCCCCTCACTTTCTGCTGTTTTTTTGCGTTTTTGGACTCCCCCCCCCCACCCCCTCCCCCCCCTCCCCCCAGCCC